GTGGGCGGCAGGGCCCGGGGCGCAGCAGCCGCACGTGGCCGCGCCGGGCGCCCCCAGAAGTGCTCAGGGCCCCGGGGCGCGGGCCCGCGCGGCCACGTGCTCCTCGCCGGATGATATTTGCAAAGAAAGTGCTAATGGCCAATCTGGTGTTTATTTTGAAACTGCTAACAATGATTTTTCTCGGGTAAAAAGGCAGTGTCTGCGCACACGCTCGGGTGGGTTTTGAGCAGAGGCTCCGCCAGATGGTGCGAAGGCCGAGGTGCGCTCACGACCGCGCGCGGCCCGGCTCCGCCGCCGGGAACCCGAGCCGGGGGCCGCCCGCACCAGCCCCACCGCCGGCCTCGCAGAAAAAGGAAAAAACGGGGGGAAAGGTCACTGGGGGAGGGGCAGGGGGCGGGGGCCGAGAGCCGCAAGTTCCCGGCAGAAAATTTCCACGGAAGGGGGAGGGGAGTCCCCTCTCCAGTTCCCTCCTCCCCCCCGGCACCGAAAATTATCTGGAAATTACTTCCAATCTCCTCGGGCACTTCTCACACTTGCCTCCAGTTCCAGGCGGACAAAGCCCTTTCTCGACAAGGCCCGGGGCTGCCCTCTGGGAAGCGGGAAGGGTCCCCGCGAGCCCCTCCGCCCCAGCCTCCCTCGGGATCCGCTGGGAACCGCGGCAGCGATGGGCCGCCTGGGGCTGCGGGGCGCTTGGCCGCGGCAGGCGCCGGCACTTCTCAGAGCCCGGCTTGTCCTCCGATGGATCCCCGTATTTATATTTGATTTATTTTTTATTTTGTAGCACAAACAGAAATCCATAAACTGTCGGTTCAGCGCCATTGACTCTTTGATCAGTTACTGGGCTATTTCTTTCCTTCCCCCCCCCCATCCCCGTCAGTGAGAGGAGATTAAATGCCTTTATTTTCAGCCCTGTTTATGTTGCAAAGGTGCACGGCTAAATGAACAATGAGAGTACACTGAAAACGAAGCCGCCTCCTCTATGCAAACCAGAGAAACTCACGGCTGCCTGCACCCACCTCTTAATTAGACCACTGCGGTTCCGACAACATTTAGCCCTCCTGTACAAAGGAAATAGACGCACCCTGCCAACCAGCAGCCCCGTTTCGAGGCTTCTCTGAATCCCAGTGAAATAATCACCAAAGGGCACACAGCTGCCTCCGTCTTTCTCACAAAGACACTACTTTACCTGCAAGATCGGTTTTACCCTGAGAGAAAACCAAAGTGTTTTACGCTGCAGACGTTAAAATCCAACGCGCTTGTTGCCTAGGTCAGGACCAACTTTTTAAAGGGGAAGTAAAATCCGAAAAAACTAACTGCTGTGCCAACAGTGGGAAGCTTGCGTCCTGGGCTGCAGGCAGCACCCAACTCCTGTCCTACTTGGCTCACCAACCCCTGAAGTTACCATCAAAAACGGAGGCGCTACTTTCTACTTCCATGTCCAAGCCTGAAGCCCACCTCGGACGTCTATTTTACATCCAGCTGTGCCTAGTGGATTTAATTTTCGCATGGAACTTGCCCCTCCCCCAACACCATTTTAAGAAAAGTGGGGGTGGGGGGAGATCTTTACAGCGACTAAACAACAGTACTACCCAGCACAAAACCAGCCAGACTGCACAGCGTGAAAAAGCAATGAAGCGCTTTTCTGCACTTAATCACATTACTGATAGCCAATAGTTATCATCGGAAAAGTTGACCAAGACAGGTTAAATAATTTAATAAGGAACTGCTTGTAATTATGTTATTTACAAGGTGTGACAGAGGGTGGGAGAGGGGAACAGAGGCAGCTCCCAGAGCAATGGACGGGTGTGGGTGACCCCTGGAGCTGGGAGTTTGAATTATGGAGAGGGGAGGCTGAGAGGTGAAGACGGGCTAGCGGAGAACAAGGTGACTTTTCACCCCAACACATTTCACTTTTAAATCCAAATCAACGTCTCGCGTTACTAGACCATCACACCGGAAAGGGGGGGAAAATGAACTAATCAAGCCCAACTCAATGGGCTTTGGAAAGGAGTTAGTTGCCTTTGTTATAGAAAAAAAAAAAATCAATGAAATGATTCCAAGCAGAGAGAGAGAAACATTTAAACATATACGAGAGGGGGAGCCTCCTGAAATTTCTCTGTCAAATATTAATTACCACAGCTAATTAAGACTTGGATTCCACGCAAAAGCCATCTAATAGAGCGTATATGTCCTATTGTGATGACAACAGTAACTACTTTACCAATCGCATCGTTTATTCCAATAAATATGGAATTCTCATTAGCATGTCAAGGAAGCCAAGTGGAAAACAAGTCCAGAGACCCATCTGCCCTCCTCTCAACCCCAGGACAACCCAGCTGAACAGTGGAAAGTAGTGCGGAGGCTTAAACTTTCTCACCTGTTTGGTCATTGAATCTATGAGGCGCACATACAGGTCCTGCTCCGTTCTGACTCCTGCAAAAAAAAACAGGGATAAATTCTCATCAGGATTTTAGCCAGGGCACCTGGGGCACAGGGCTGCTGCTGCCGGCGGTGATGCAGCAAAACTCAGCCATGCCCTTTAAGAGGCGAAAAGGAACCCCAATCGCTGCCCCTGCTCTGAGTTTCTTTTCCTCGTCAGGAACCTCTAAGACTCTCAGGGTTTGCACTGGAAGGTGCGACAAATTTGCCAGGCTGCGAGCAGGCCCGGTGGCTGCACCGGGTGGGCCCATGTGGTCATTTATTTTTAGAAAACAGAAAGCATGAAATGGAAACTGAGTGAGAGTTTGAACTCTTTCTAGTGTCTCTCGAGGATTTTTTTTTTTTTTCAAAAACTCGTGCACAGGAAGTCAGTTCCGCTCCGCTTATGGAGCTGCCCCCATCTCCATAATTAACATTAATTTGCAAAATTGAAAAAAGTCACTTAAAAGTGATGTCCTCCTGAAGCCCCATATCGATCCCCCTTTTTACTTTCTGCTTCGAGCCCCACCGGTTAATCATGTGAAGTGCCATCGACTTATTGATCGTTTATGTTTTGTTTTCCGCCTATGCCACGAGAATATTTCGTGTTTACATCCGTGTCATTTTAATCTCGCAATCTTTGAGTCCGTTAGCCGTCTCGGGAAAGGAGGGCGAGCCCGGGCGGGGCGGGCGGCGGCGGCCACTTACCGTTGCTGTACAGCAACTGCAGTTTATAGTGGATGCCGTTGTTGGTTTTCTCGTTGTTGGGCTCCTGAAAGTAACGATAAATAATTGCGTTTAGTGCGATCGGCGTCCGGCGCGGCCACCGCGCTCGGTCCCCCTGCGCCCCCGAGGCCCCGCGGCCTCACACATGGCAGGACTCGTAGCTGGGAGCGGCGCGGTGATGTCACTTTCCCGCTGGAAGCCCAGCGTCCTCCTCGCCCCGAGCGAGTCCGGGGGCGCGCAGAAGTTGCGCAGCCCCTCGGCGGTGGCCCGGGCGGCCGCACGTGGCGGCGGCGGGGGCGCCTCGCCGAGCGGTCCCCGCCGCCGAGGGGGGCACGCGGGGCCACCGCGCGCGGGCACCGCCCGCCTCCCACTTGTAGAAAGGTGGAAGGTGGGATGGAGTGCGGGCACTTACTTTCTCTTTCTCCACGAAGTCCACAAAAGCGGTCCTTTCGATCTCCACCGGCTGCCCCTGCCTGTCGTAGAGCGCCAGCACGAAGTGGAAGAAATTGGACTTCCGGAGGTTGGAGGGCGGCTGCTTCTCGAAGTGCGCCCGCGCCAGCCCCACGCCGCTGCGGGAGGAAAGGGACAGCGGCCCGGTGAGGAGCGCGGCGGCCGGGGCCGGGGCCGGGGCGCGCGGGGGCGGCCGGTACGTACCTCTGCGCGGCCGTGTTGGCGTCCACCACCCCCGCCGTGTGCATCCACGAGCGCACCGGGTTCATGCCGCTGCCCAGCGGCTCCTCCTTCATGGTCGTCCCCCCGCGCGGAATATTCTCCTGAATCCCAAACATGAAAACTGCTGGCGGCGGCCGCAGCTCCCGGCCGAAAGCGCTTCCGCGAGCAGCGGCGCTCGGGGCTCGGCGGCAGGCGGCTACCCTGGCCGCGCTCGCCCTGCTCGGCGCCTGCGGTCCGGCCCCGCCGCCGGCTTCAGCCCGTCCCGGGCAGGCGCCACATACACCAGCGGCCGGGGCGCTCCGGACGGCCGGGGGGGCGCGGAGGCGGCTACACCGGCGGCGGCGGCGGCGGCGCTTCGGAGGAGCAGGACGCGGTGGCCGCGGCGGCGGTTGTTGTTGTTGTTGTTTGCAGGCGCGCTCAACGTGGTGTCATCCTAGCCAGGCGGCGTCCGCGGCTGCAGGACACTGCGGGATCGCCCGCTTCTGGCGCGGCCCGCCTGCTCCAAAGACAAATAAACGGGGCAGTGAGTGCCGCGGCGCAGTCCCGGGCGCAGGCGGGGCGCGGCGGGGCCTGGAGCGGCGCGCGCAGCGGACGGAGGCGCACAAAACTCAGCCCTCTCTCCCCGAGGAATGGACCCTTTCCCGGGAGCCAAAACTCGAAGCCCCCGGGAGCGGCGCTGTCAGAGGGTGACGTCGGGGGGCGGCGCCTGCGCCATATATGGGAGCGGCCGCCCCTCGCCGCGCCCCTCGCCGCCGCCGCCGCCGCCGCGCTCGCTGACTGACTGCCTGACGGCGCCGCGAGCCGGCCCGAGCCCCGCGAGCC